CAGAGAGAGAGAACAGCTCACAGACCTGCAGGAACAAGGGATATTTTATAAAGAACGTGCACAGATAGTTGTATGTAGAGTTAGAAGACCACCACCATTACTCCCCAACTCCCTCATTGTCACATATAGACACTTGCTTTTGGGCTCTGCCACAGGTATAAGGGATGACTTTCCACCTCTCAGCAAAACTGTATCTAGTAACAAGAAATTAATTTGAATGCCATCAGCAAGATGGTGCAATTGGGAGCCTTGGACCCTCATTCCCCCATGGAGATACTGACTCACCAAAAATATATGGATTAAATTGCTTTTGTGAGAACTCCAGAACTAGCTAAGGGGTTGAAGCACCCCAGGTAAGTGCAAAGCCAGGAAGAGATGTATCAAAATGAGTAGAAAAATTGTGGCATTTTACATACTCTAGCCACTCTCTTGCTCTGGCATAGTGTGGCCTGATTGGGAGAAAACACCTACATCTCAACTTCTCCTTCAGGAAGGAAAGAGGAGTAGAACATGGGTCCAGCATTCTGGCTTTTTGGGGGGTTGCCCAAGGGACTGGTTTCTATCTCACCTGACTTGAGTGCAGACAAAAACCTGCACAGTTTGTGTGCCATGTTGGGGGCCTCTGAGAACAAAGGCAAGTACCAATGTTTCAACACTAGAGAGATCGTAGTACTGCAGACAGACTCCAGGGGAAGAAAGAGATAACAGATTCCAGAGAAGAAGCAGGCAAACCTTTTTAACTGGGAAATTATACACACAAGCCCGGAAGAGATGCATTCCCAGATAAGAGTTGAGGGTCCCCTAGAATCTCTAGCTGTGCTGATCAGTGAAGGTTTGTATGAAGTCTGCCTGTAATGACTGGGGGAGATTGGTGTTTTTACAAATGCCCGATTTCAACAAAAGATCGTAAAGCATACAGAGAAACAGGAAAACATGGGCCAAGCAAAAGGAACAAAATAAATCTCTAGAAACCAACTCTAAAGAAATGGACATCTATGAATTATGTGATCTTGAAAATGTATTTGCACACTCATGTTTATTGTATCATTATTCACAATAGCTAAGAGGTGGAAGCAGCCCAAATGCCCATCAATAAATGAATATATAAAGAAAATGTGGTGCATATATGTATATACATATATACACACAATGGAACATTAATGAGCCTTACAAAAGGGGAAAATCCTATTACATGCTACAACATGGATGACACTTGAGGACCTTATGCTAAGTGAAATAAGCCAGGTACAAAAAGACAAATGCTGTATGATTTCACTCATGTGAGGTATCTAAAGTAATCCTAGAACTAATATGAAACAGGAATTAGAATGGTGGTTGCCAGGGGTTAGGGGCAGGAGGAAAATGGGGAATTGTTGTTCAATGAATAAAGAGTTTCAGTTTTGCAAGATGAAAAAGTTCTAGAGATCTGCTGTACCAACAATGTGAATATAATTAATATGTTAAACTGTATGCTTAAAATGGTTAAGATGAGGCC